TTTTTGTTAATTTTTTAAAAAGAAATCTTATTCTTGAATTAAATAAAATTAATTGAATGAATATAGGCATGAGATTTTCATTTCATAATGTTTTGTTAGGTTTTCTTTCTAGCTCGTTGCTCTAGAGGTTCGTACAATATCTTTTGGTGTTGTCATGTCGTTTTTTGTAATGAGATTTAAATTGTCTTAGTAAACACTTCTAGTAGTGGACGGTGTCAATGGTGGAGTGACGGTGAGTCTCCATTAGGTTTTTCTTTAATCTCATTTTGGGTATGATATTGACGCTTTATCTTTTATAGTTAGTTCTTGCCAAATATTTTTTTTATGATTTGTATGTTGTTGTTCCCTACTTTTTAAATTAGATTATTGGATCACTCAATCTTATTTGATTTAGTCAACTTAATGATTCAAGTATCGAGTTTTTTTTTATTTAAGAGAAAAACTATCATCTTTTAAGCATCTTTTTTTTATGTTAAAAAATTTTTAAACTGACTCGTAGGGTAGCATGAGTCACCAATCTAGTACTAATAGTTAAAATAAAATGGAGTTGGTTATTATATATATTGTAGCTTTTTTTTCTTTATTTTTTTAATTACATCTTTACGTGTTTAATTAGTCAAACTCTATTAAAAAAGGAAAAATTCAATGAAAAAAGACCAAAATAGAGAACATAAAGAAACCTTGCAACCGACCTAAACTCTAGAGAAACATTATATAGTACTAACAGCTAAAATAGAATGGGGCTGGTTATTATATATATTGTAGTTTCTTTTTCTTCATGTTTTTTCGATTGCAATTTTAAATGCTTAATTTGTCAAACTTTATTATGAAGGAAAAATTTAATGAAAAGGGATCAAAATGGATAACATAAAGAAACCTCATGGCTGACCTAAACTTTAGGGGAAATTTATTTTTTCAACCTTAATAGTGCATCAATTTTTTCAAAATTTAATTTTGATCCAATTTTTATTTTTTATTTTTTAGTCCACAAGTTTTAGAAAGGAGAGAGAAAGTCATTTGATTCTAGTTAAGGAGAGAGAAAATCATTGGTTGACACTGATTTTAGAAATAAAATAAGCTGATCCTGGTGTCAATAAATTTCATTCGATGATAGAAGCTCGATAATGGTTGTTTTTATCTTTGAACATTCTTAGAAAATCTGATCGAGTTCAATTTATATTTTTTTCTGATTGATTTTTGGAATTTTTTTAAGTGTTATTGAATGATTTGTAAAAGTTTTATGATTTTTTTAAATATTTTCAAGTACAAAATAATTGACAAATGAAATTTTGAATAAAACAAATTAGCTTCCTTGATTTTCCAGCTACCTCTACGGTGGTCGAGTTCCAGGCATCAAACAACATACCACTTGTATCCTTTTGTTTTCAAAACAACATGGGATGGACAATACAAAATTAAAAAAAAAAAAAATACATGGATCAGGCTAAAAAAAATAGGTTTGGGTTGAAAGGCCCACGTGTCCAAGATTTTTTTTAGATGACTATGTATGCTAGTCCACTTCGTCCAATCCTGCATGTTTGATAAAACAATTCCAAGAGCACTCCGATCTTGACCTTGTTTAGAAATTTCCATCATCAAAAAGTGTGGAAAATTTAACAGCCGAGACCAGCCAATGTATACTTGGAGCTCTCTTTAGTTGCCCTGCAAGGACGTTCTATATTTATGTGTTTTTGTTTGTTGGATCTCAAAACATGGACATGGAAGACAGGTAACCTAAAGCAAACCAACCAAATTTAGAGGGAAATCTGGTTCTGAGCTGACGATTAAGAATCTTAGGTAATTCTTGATCATAATTAGCTAATTACTATAAAAACTATACCTTAATTTATCTAAAAAAACAGGTTAAACTCACTCTTAAACATGGTTTTTTAGCACTTGCCCTGCGTTGTGTTGTCTGGTCCACGCATAGCAAACATGATATCGAAGTCCAAGTCTTCCCTGTAATTGTCAAGGAGTTGTTCCCATGTCATTTGTGACTTCGGAGTAGTCAAGGGTTTTAAATTATTGAATCTAGAAAGAGCCCTCATGGTGGAGCTCCAATTTTGCTTGACCAAACCCTTGTCTCCTCATCATTTTATCTGACAAATGCGAGAAGTTAAGCGGAAAATCAACGAAATTTCTATTCACTATCATAATTTGGAATCAAATGGGGAATATTAGGCCGGATTCTAAGGCGCATGTTTCATGAAAAATTATATCTTTTGCTTAATTTTAATACTCTTTTTAAGTTTTTGGATGTTTTTGATATAAAAAATAATTTTAAAAAATAAAAAAAATATATTATTTTTATATAAAAAATATTATTTTTATATAAAAAAATATTTTAAACTCTGAATTATATGTAATATAAGCTCTACGAGGGAATTAAATTAAATATATGTTTGTTTGGAATTTTAGTGATAATTATTTTTTAAAGTATTTTTTGTGTTGAAATACATCAAAATAATTTTTTTTATTTTTTACAATTATTTTTAAAATCAACGGTATTAAACAATCTAAAACACATAAAAAATTAATTTTTAATTAAAAAAATTAAATTTTTGATAAGCCTCGTTCTCAAATAGAACTGGAAAAGAACATCTTCTACCGGCAGCAAGGAATATCAGAATGGTGTGTAAAGATGAGTTACCCTCTTTGCACTCCTAGTTAAAAATAGATTGCGATTATGGCATGATTAGAATAAGGAGAAACTAAAAAGAGCAACAAATATTCCATTCTTTTGGCTTGCCACTAGCATAGAATAGCAAGCATGCATCGCAAAAGGAGAAGAAAAGGAGAAGGCGGCGTGGGGTCTCCGTGCCAAAGAATATACTTTTAGAAGATGAGATAAGATTCAATCATCCAAGGGAGTGTGAAAGAAGAGAAACCTCTTTGATGCTGTTGGAGTGGTGGTGGTTTTGTTTTCCAACACATAATATTTTTTTAATAAAATAAATTATAATTGAGGAAAAATAAAATAAAGGACAAGAAACACAGAAACAAACAAAGAAAACCAACCCATAAATTAAATAAAAACTTGATTAAAAGGCGAGGGGGGACCTGACCAAGCCTTCCCTTCTCATTCCGCTTTATCTTCTTCTTCTTCTTAATCCTTCCTGGGATTTCTAGGGTTTCTTTCATGGATCCTGGCACTGTACCAAGCTTTGTCATTTCATGAGCTTTCGTTGATTTCCTTCTTGACCGGATCATATCAAATCTCTTAATGGAGGTAAAAAAAAAAAGATCCAACCTTTATTTATTCTTTCCCCCTTTTC